TTTGTATATGTAATTAATTTCAAATCGCTAGTATCTAAGCAAACGGGCCTCTTTTTTAAATTCCAGCCCAATGTTATCTTTGTCTATATATTTAAGGGAAAATTAGCTCAAACCCTACATATAAACTATATACTTCAAAATTCAGGTTTAAAATTTTTTTATACAAAAATCAGGTGATAATTTAAATTTTTTAATACTATAATATTAAAATCCTAATTTCATCACTTTCGTCTCCCTTACTTACTTACTCTCTCTCATCTTCACCTTCTCTCTCTCTCTTCCTCTCTGTCACCTTCCTCCAAGACCGCCATCACTGTCTCGCAAGGCTGCCTTCGCTGTCGCCATCATTCGTCTTCTTCATCTCCCATCTCTCTCTCGCCTTCCCCTGCCTTTTCTCTGTCCTCTCTCTATGAATGGGGCGACCGGCAGCGTTGTGACGTTCAACGGCTGATGTAGGCGGAGGCTCACTGCACAACGATAGTTCAACACTGCTGCAGTGGCGGTCCTTTTGTTGCGCCCACGGTGTTTTTGTTGAGGTGGATCTGTCGGGTGGGGTGGGGGTGGTGTGGTGTTTTGTGGTGACGGCGGTGGTTGTGGATGTTGTTTTGTAGTGAAAATAGTGATTTTGTTGGTGGTTTTGTTCGTGACGGAGGCGGCGGTCGAAAGTTCTAGTGCTGGATCGGTGGAGCTCTTATCCTTGGGATTCTCTGCAGGCGGAGTTTATTTAATTTTTGGAATTAAACAAGCTCATCCACTTCCTGGAAACAACATTAAGGTAGAGATGGTGATGGTTGTGGGTATAAGGATAACTGGATGGATGTGGAGGTGGTGGAGGCATAGTCGGCCCCGTTGCAGAGTAAGAAGGCTGCAACCGGAGTTGGTGGTGTCGGCGAACCTTTTCTAATCTATGACCAAATCACGATTTGACTACCGGGCAGTTCGTTGTGACTGTTGTGACCGAATGTGACTGTTTGTGATCGATTGTGACTGGTGAATTATGACTCGTTGTGAACGATTGTGCCATTTTGTGATCGATTGTGACTTACAAATTGCAACTCGTGGTGATCAATTATGACTCATTGTGACAAAAAAAACTCGGTAAAAATTTGGAAGTTGGCCGTCGGAACTAGCGTGGGGGTGATCGTCGGAATAGTCATCAGAGTGATTGACGGAGCGGCCACTGAAGTAATAGTCGAAATAGTCGTCGGACCATCGTCGGAACAGTGCCGAAGATCTAGGGAAGGTGGTGTAGTGAGGTGATGGGGGTGAGTGAGGTGTCATGGGGTG